TATAGAAGAAAGTTCCTTATCCCACAAACGTCTCGACATCAGTTTTAGTAATAATTAAATAAAATGGATAATGGAATGAACGAAAAAAAAAATACGATCGAAAATATCGATGACCGAAATAAATTTTTCTAGATGATTCTCTTTTTATTAATATTTGAAATATAACGCAATGTTTTGTGTAGCATTATTGCGTTATATAATTAAAAAAATTAAAATAAAAATACCAATTGTACATAAAATATTAATGATAAATTTAGAAAGGACAGATGTTTAAATTGTAATTTCAATGTCGAAATATCGAATTTTATTAGAAATGTGACTTAAATTTCTTCTGGTTCAATTCGTAGATGTAATACTTCTAGACCTCTGATCACAGTCATTCTTAAGATTTTTGCTGCTTCTATGGCTTTGTAAATACTAGCGGATGATACTACTGGTTCATCATTGACTTGCGTTATGATATCGCCAGCTTGTAAACCTCCTCTGAAATTTTTCCATAAAAATATAATTTTTATTTAATTATCATTGATATAACTGATAATTAGGAAACATACAAATGTGCTGGCGATCCTACGATCACTTTATAAACAAGAACACCGTATCTTATGTTATGTGGAATTCCTTTTAATTTTTTTTGCAATTCGTAAAAAAGATCCGGTGTAAGCGTCAGCATTGTGATTCCGATATATTGAGTTTTTGTTTTTTCCATTGCGAATTGTGTACCTAATATATTTATATATTGATATTATTTTATTTTACAATGGTGTATTAAATATTTCTTATTTTATTTAAATGCTATACCTTTGTTTTTTCTGCGTAATTCTGCTTTTCTTAAAAAATCTTTAGCATAATCTATAGGTATAGCAAAAGAAATACCACTTGTCACTTTCATTGCATTTATACCAATTGCTTCTGCATCCAAATTAACTAATGGACCACCTGAATTTCCAAACTAAAAAATGATAGTATATAATAAAATATTTTAATATAAATTTTTATATTAAAAGTTTAATATAAATTAAGATAATAATAGTGAGGTACTAACAGTGATTGCAGCATCTGTTTGAATATAAGCCATCTGTTTATTAAGAAGACCAAGTTCTTGGCTATGCCTATTTACACTACTTATTACACCACTTGTTATTGTGTTACTTAAAGCTAACGGAGATCCAATAGCAACCACAAATTCTCCAGGTCTAAGATTTGAAGAAGAACCAAGCTTCATTACTGGTAAATTTGTCTATAAAAAAAATTAATAATAATAATTTAAAAATATAAAAATAATTATATAAAATAATATAAAAAAATATATGAACCTTGTTAATTCGTACAGTTGCAAGGTCACTATGCACGTCAATGTCCTCCACAGTTCCAGTATAAACACTTCCATCATAAAGACGTACCTGTGAAATAGATTGTATAAAAACTTCTGAAAAAATATGTTTAATATTAATTTCTGTAATATAAGAATATTTATATAAAATACCACCAACATTACCTTGACAGTTGTATGGGGTTTAGCAGTAACAACATGAGCATTTGTCAATATTAAACCATCTGATTCTACAATGAAACCAGATCCATTGCTTATATTGAATGGTTTACCTGTTTGAAAATCAAATCTATTTTCTCATTAATAATTATTGTTAATTACAATTATTTAATTATCTTTATAAGTATAAATATTTACCTTCTGTTATTTTGAATCTCTATATACACTACTGCAGGTGCTGACTTTTCTACCACATCGGCTATAAAATTATATTTATTTCTATTACCTCCATCCCAAGAAACTGGTTTAGCATATATTGTGAACATAGATTTTATCAAGTTGCTAAATCGGTTTTGACAATCGTCTTTCCATTTATACAAAACATAACCAAAACCAGAAAAGAAAATGGTATAAAACAAGACATTTCTAACTGTTTTTTCAGAAGTTCGAAATTTTTTATCTTGTTGATGTGAACATTTATATTGCGAAAAACGATTCACACATGAAACTGTTAAGAATTGTTTATACTGGAAGTGATTTCTTTTTAAAACGGTCCAAGATGTACGGGTCAAGGGGGCAGCCATTTTTCGACTCCCAATAAGAGTGTCAGTTGTATTTTCAAATCCCGCGAAAATCGATTTATACATGAAAATTTATGAAACATAATTTATTAAAATTATTAAAGAAATTATTAAGAAATTATTAAAACTTTATAAGAAAATTATGATAAATATAAGATATAAGATAGATTTAATATTTAATCAGATATCGGAATCATTTTTAATAAATATAAATTTTATAAAACAAGTTATATAAATTTTATAAAGAAAGAGAGTAAATATAAAACAATTATGAGAAATGGACAGAGATAAAATGAAAATTCGAAAATCAGCGCCATTTCCAGAATGTCGCAAAAATAAAAAAACGAAATAGAGTAGAAAGTGAAAAAAAGAGGATAGAGATATAGAATAAGAATTTATTGTTAGCGCTATCATTGAATGCCACTTCAATTAATTTTTTGGACATTAAAAATATCTTTTTTAAAATACTCAAGAGATAACATTGATTCTCAATTCTTTGAAAAAATATCTTTGATACACAAGAGATGGTAATAATAGTCAATTCTTATTCTATTTTTTCTCTTACTATATGCGCTTCTTATTTATATATATTTTATCTATATTTTATCAACAGTCTAAAAATGATTATAATTTCTGAATTTTTATTTTATTTCTGTCTTTCTTTTATTATTTATTCTTATTTATTTATTTATTCTCCTTGTCTATACGTGCTTATGACGATATATATAAGGTATAGAATGAGAATACATACTTTTATCATTTCTTTCACAAAAAAAATATAGTTATAATATTATGTATAATATAAGAGAACGGTTTTTTTTCAATTATTACATTTATTTTGAAATTTTATTTATGTGAAATTTATTTCTTTAGTTAATTTTCAAAATCATACAAGAAATTTTGAATTTCTTTTATTGAAGTACATATATTTTACATCAATAAGAGATCTTATTTACAATATAATTATACAGAAACGATTTATAATATATCTTTGTTTATAATAATTATATTACGTTTCCTGTTTTTTTACTTTTTTTTTGGAATTTACTATTCCATTTGATTGATTATGTAACTTCACTTTTTTACTTATTTTCAAGAGTTTAGGTTTTTTCAAAGTTTTCAGTTTGAGTTCTGTTATTTTTTCTTTTTTTTTTTATTTCCAATTTGTTCGATGTTTTTTTAATATTTTTTGTTATCGATGTTTTTTTTTCATTTTCAAATTCTCGTGGATCATCTATCTTTTTTTTTTTATATTGTTAATCATTATTTTTTCATCAATAATTTTGCGTTTTTTAATTTTTTTTGTTTTCTCTGTTTGAATTTCTTCATTTATGTTACATTCTTTTTCGGTATGACCTATAAATAATAACATAAAATTTTATTATATTCGTTATATTATTTTCATTAAAAAAATAAAAATTACATACCAATTTCGTTACATTTAAAACATTTTCCAGTAACTTTAGGTTTTCGGCCGCACAAATGTTTTGCCACAATACATCTTTTGCAAGTTTCACAATGTTTCCAGTAAGGTTTCACACATCGTTTGCATATATCACAGTGTTTATATGTAAGACCATTTTTCGAGGTACACTCTTGACATTTTTTACAATGCTTATTCTCTTTACCAACCCATTTTTGACATTTTTTACAATATCTATAGCCATTCGATTTTGGAAGTTCAACTAAATTTAATGGTATATTTGTAAAAATTCTAATAGGTGATGGCAATTTAGTACCATTGGAATCATTTAAAAATAATGGGTGATTATCATAAGCTACTTTGTAATCAGTCATGTTCAAATCTTTTAAACCTCCTGATATACCAGGAGGATTACTCTTTTGTTTCATTATAGATTCCATAAAATATGGAAATATAAACATAATTTTTAAACAATCACTTTCATTTTCTATATTATTCCATTTCTTATGAAATTCAGAAATTTTTTTTATGGTCCAAGATATTGGTTCCACTCGACTACCAAATGGTGGATCACAGATTAAATAGGTATGCTTTCCTTATTTTGCATAAGAAAATCTTTAAACACATGAATGGCACTTTCATTAAAAAAATGATTATTCAATAGATTATACCAACAATAATTTAATGGTCCAAAAAAATTATGCTATAAATTAGAAAACACAAATATGCATTATATTCATACAATTTACTTTAGTATAAATTTATTTGATTTAATGAATTTTTATATAAACTTACAAATCTTCCATCAAAATCTAATAAGAGTGAAGATATTGTATCTTCATAATTTTCTAAAATATATTCATGAATCTTTGGAGTACCTATACAAAGAATTTGTGTTGCTCCTAATTTCACAAGTATATTCACTATATCTTCCGTTGTTTGCTTTGTAAAGAAATATTGAGCTTCCTGTTTAGAATTTTCTATAGGTTTTAAAATTTCTGTTGGATGTTTCATCTCATAATCTGTAAGATTTTCTTTTATGTCATGATTTTTATGTTTGTTCATCACATCTTTCTCAATTTTGGATATCAATTGCTCACAAGTGTGACAATAGCATCTATTGTCTGGAGTTACAGACATTATATCATTAAAATGTACATATAATGATCTATGACGATAACGAGACATAAATTGTTTCTTCTGTTGTTCCCATTTAGCTGCTTGTTGTTTTGTCAATTTTTCTCCCTCTTTCAAATAAAATTTGCATGTTTTTCTCTCGCGACAGGCAGAGCATACATAAAACTTTTCTAATTTGCCATTTTCATATGTGCCAAATAATAATGTTGGTCCTATATAAATAAAAATATCATTGTTAATTATTTTAAACTATCTTTCCACGATACAAAATTTTGATATGAAATATTACCATGTGGACATTGAGGATGTTTATTTAAATCGGACCAAAAACATTCCATGTTTAATAATCAATGAAAGCAAAATTAACAAATAGTTTAAAAATAATTATTTATATTAATATTTATTACAAACGAAAACTTAAGCATACTTTTAAGAATATTTTATTTACTATATAATTAAATACTTATTCGTAAAACTTGTCATCTTATGCGAAACATTCACTCATGCAAAAACAAAACATACCACGTGGTTTGCATAGCGATACGAACTTAATCGATTTTCAACGCGATTCGAGTGCTACTTGCGATTATCGAAACTACTTTAAACATTTTACTTCTCTTAATAAGTTTTCAATTTAAATAAATTTTATCGGAAATGATAATGTAGAAGGAATTGTTTTTTAATCGATTAATTTTCATAATTAGATTAAAGATTCTTTTGAAGTGATTAATGGCTTAATATCCAATATTGATTTAAATTGATTTAAATATAGAAATATGTAATATATAAAGTTTGAAAGAAAAATATTTGATTTTACGAAAATCATTTTATTCAAAAAAGAGCAAAATATTAGGTATGTATATTAGATATTCTATATAATTTTAAAATTGATTAATAAATGATTTTCAATTTTAATTAATATTAAAGAATTATTATATAATAGAGAATATAGACAGAATTATAATTTAATAAATTATGAAAAAAAATATTTTTCTCATATAGTATTTTATTAATAATGTTTAAAAAATATAAAGCCATTAATTAAATTTATTTGTATTTTATTATAACTTTTTTTTTCTTACAATCGCTATGTTATTTACTGTATCACATGTATGTATAATATTTTATATATATATATATATATGTTTTCAAAAACATAACTGTAATATAATGTGTATATATATATATATGTATATATTACATATATAAGGCAATTTAAGCCTCTACAGGCTATAAACATTTTCGTGCGTTGTTTCGTCATGATTGTTTGTAATGTTTTATTGTAAAAATACAGATAATACATTATGTTACAATATTTTGTAACATAATGTTCAATTTGGACCATAGATATACATACGAAAAAGAGAACAAAAAAATAAATACTTCATTCTTCGGTAATTTTTATAATACTGTATCAATAAATAAATATCTGAGATTGTTAAAATTATTTTAAAAATAAGATATCTAGATATATCAAGAATGAATATATGAGCATAATATTTATGAATCGAATTTCTCTAGAGCTAATGAAAACAATTGTCATTTGTGTTTATTTTAAAGCATCTCTAAATGATCTACAGAATCGACATTTTATTTTCATTTTCTTACTTTTTTTTATTTTTTTATTTTAATTGTTTTTAGGTGTGTTTATTCTGTTAGATAATATATTATCACAGACTATCCATTTGCAATTAGGAAAAACATTTACTAGAAAATTTGTTTATCTTGCAATATTTCTACTGACATATCAGTGCAACTATGAATTTACGAAATATTAATACTTACTATAATTAAATTAAATTATTCATATATACAAAGTATTAGCCATCTAAAGTTGTAACTTGAATTGTTTGGTCTAAATCGTATATATAATATTAAATAACAACGTATATTTTTTTTCTCATAATCTATATAATTATTTTTTTATAATTCGTTAAGTATACAAGTAATACTGCAACTGTGCAAGTGTATGAATATTGTGATTGTTCTTTTTTTTTTTATAATTCTATAAGGAAAATAACGTAACATCACGAACAAAATATTTTTTTCTTTCCTATTCTTCATTTTGTTTCTTAATTATTCTAAAAATGTAATTAAGATATTACGGCTGAATGTATATATTTTACATATTTAATAATTCATTCATTACACATATATTTTTAGAGAGAATATTTTCTTTGCCAATCCATCTTCTTGCTATACTTTCGTTTTTTAACCAATAACATTATTCATTAGACTAAAAACTTTTTAATGAATTCTTTATATATACATAATTGACTACAAAGCTTCTTCATTCAGCTTGCTGCATAAACTATGAATGTTTACAAGTGTTTACAAATATCATGCGTATATGTAAATCTTGAAATTTACAAAAAAAAAGATTATAAAATATATTACAAATAATAAAATCATAAAAAATAGAAAAATATGATTATGCAGCAAGCATTAGAGCTCCAAAGAATACTGAATTAAATTTCATTTATATAAGCAGTATGTTCTTTTTTTCTTTTCTTTTTTTTTTGATAAATTTACAATTCCACATTTCTAAAATCTAAATGCAATGCTAGGATTTGGTTTGAAAAATTCATAAAAAGGCTATCGCCATGAAAATTTTGTATAAATATGCCGAAAGCATTTTGTGAATAGATAATCAGTTCGTATAGGCTTCAAGAGCTCATTGCTCTTTTTCGATGTAGAGTAATAGAAAATTTATAAGACACACACAAATGGACTTGCTGCAGATTAAATATTGACCACATTGTACTTTAGGAAGTAATTTTTTTTCGTGAAAGAATATATAGAAAGGATCTTATCGATTAATCATTTTTTATCTTTTGTTTTCCTTTTTTTTTTTTGCACAAAATTTTTGTTAGCAAGATGGCAGTAATTGAAATTTAAAAAATAATTATACATATCATACATGAGATTCGTGCATTGAGATATTTGACGTAAATTCTAAATTATAAAATATTAAAAATAACAAAAACAGCTATGCAAAAATGTATCTAAATTGTTTATCCGTTACTATATTCAGACTTTATACTATTCTCGAAAAGTTATAAAGCTATTAATTTAGATTGACACGAACCCCATCTTTCCTGTAATTTTCGACGCTGTTCTACATGATGATCTGAAAGATTTCTTGACAATCCTACATGTCCTGTCTTTAATTTTCTAGGATCTAAATTTGCTCCTAAAGTTTGCACACCTTTCGCAAATTTTGAAAAAGGTGATAAGATATCTTTGGCAGTAGATGCCACAGGACTCGCAACATTTGTTATGTTAGTTTTTATTGATTTCAAAGCAGATTCACTCTGAGAAGATGTAATATTTAGACTTAAATCTTGCTCAGATGTGGATCTTTTTTTATCTAATAATCTGTTTTCCGTCTGCAATTTATTTCCATTTGTATCACTAAGTGTCAGCTTGCTGTCAACTTCTCCGGTCGAATGACTAATATTTTTGGACAAATTCAACGTTGATGGCGGAAGAATCCTTTCCTTATCCTCTGTCACATTTTGTATAGTTATTTCTGGTGTCTTTTGAGGAGATGCACTTACAGTACTGGTTCCAGAACCAGTCTGCGGCACATTTAAAACTTCTTTATCAGAAATTTGTTCAGATAATTTATTAGGTCGTATTGACAAATTTTGATTTTCATTGTTTTCATCAGATTCCATAACATCAGCGTTTTTAACACCCATTATAATACCAATAGATGGAGTATAAGCTTCCATCAAATTCTTATCATGACTGAAATTCTCTGGCTTTTCTAAAGGAACAGCAGATATACCAATGTTTTCATCATCACTACTACTACTGCTATTACGTCTCCCTTGCACATTACCGAAAATATCTCTGCCTCCAAGAGTGAAAATAGGTTTAGAAGATGCTTCAGATTTTCTGCCTATGCTTTTCGCTATATCAATTGGTTTTCTAGCGCTAAAGCTATGACTTAATTTATTTAATTTGCTAAATTGCTCAGACATGTTATTTAAAGCTTTCGTTCCTGCAACGATAAAATAGTTTGAAAGTTATTGATGTAAATTTTATAAATATGTGCACATTATCAAAATTCTTATATTTATTATCAAAGAATAAATTCTTTACAAGAAACATACCTGCGCTTTTAAGAGCTAATAACTGTGTTTCTGAGACATTTCTAGTCAGTTCTGGAAATGACGAGATATCCAGTAGACCCGTGGTTCCTTTACTATTCACTAATTTACTCTTTCGTCTATCTAATGTGACATTCATTGCTATAGGAATCTTTGGTAAACTGCTTATATCCATTGCTACAGAGATAGCTTCGCAGATTGATTTTAAAGATTCTGAAATATTATAAATTAATAAACATAGTATAATTGAAATTATACATTAAAGCATAATAAATCGTGTCCTACCTATACTTTCTTCTTCGGTCTTTATAACAACAGCCATATTATTAAAAAATCGTAAATTTGTACTCCGGAACATGTGAAAATAACCGTATTCATTCGCCATTTTATAATTTATTCTAATGCAATGGAAATGTTTATTTTTAAAAAGCGAAACTGAGCTTTCAGGCTGACCAAATTCAATTAATACAATATCTTCGAGTGGTACTCTTTGGTAATTTGTGACTTTGTCTATTTGATCATCATAATCAGCTACATAATAACTATCGCGTGTTAATATTAGAATGGTGTCCATTTCTGTCTCTGTTAAGTCACCAGTCCTATTAAAATAAATTATAAAAAAAATAATAATAATATTAAAAATAATTTAAATATTATAAATTTAAAAAATAAAAAAATGAATGTCTAACATACACAGGATCAGCATCTATAAGACCCCAACTGCCTAAAATAACTTCTGGATCGGGTATAAGTAATTTCTTGCAATCTTCTATTAGTAATTTCACGTGAATTGCTGTAGCGGCATTGTCTTCTTCTTCGGTACGCTCTTGGAATACCTCTTCATTTACAACATTCCCTAACATCATATCGATCGTGGCTTGTCTATAGACATCCTTGAAGCGATTTAAATAGTATCTGAAAATATACAGGTCTCCTAACTGTTTCCGTCAAGGCTATAATTAAAAATAAAATAAAAAAAAATATGAAATAAAAAAAATGACGATAAAAAATATTGTCTTGAAGGAGTCAGGATAGTTTTCTTCAGAGTAGACTTTCATTAATATTTGTTGAGATTAAATTGAAAATCAAGCAATTATCATGCAAACAAAAACGAGCAAAAAATGCAATATCAAACTGATTATAATATGTGGCGTCATAGTTTTAATATAATTGTCATCGTTCGTTGTTTGGATAAAGCAATAATTGGTTTGAAGTTTTAATATACATTTTATTTATTTGTTCGATTGAAAAAAATTCAACCCAAAGCTGAGAACGAACCTTGCCAAATCATACATAGCACTGGCATAAAGAAAGTCAGAATAGGTGGCAAGTTGAAGCTCTATATTTGGTGGTTTCGCGGGTATTAACTCAAGACAACAATTATCAAGGATGTCTAAATAGTGCGACCAATCGGTATTCAGTTGATTAACATCGATGGGATTTCCTAGCAAAGTATCTATTGCCGCTTGACGTATATCATCCATAAAGTGTTGCTGAAAATATCTATTGAAAAATGAAAGGATAGTGTCAAGGATCTATGTATGTATAATATATGATAGTATTTAATTAATGATTATAGCTCAAAGAAAAAAAAATTAAATGTTATTGATATCTAATGATTATACGAATAATATAATGATTTATTCTTTTTAAGAGAATTACAACACCTAATAAATTATATATTTGCGAAATATTTTGAACAATAAAAAATAATCGTAAAATGATATATTGTGTAGGATATGTGAATGAATATGGTGTTCTACTATAATGCGAATCGTGTGTTATAATTGTGATCCAATTATACCTGTTCGCAGAATTTACGCCATCTTTCATTAACCCGGTAAATTTTCTTTCCCCTGTTCTTGTATAATCTCCCTATAAGTAATAAAAAAAACTACAATCATAGAAATTTTACAATATTTCGATTGGTCTTTTGTTTCTAATTAATAATTAATTAATTAGACATTAAAAAATTATGTATTTCTATCATAGGTACGAACCTTCAGAGCATTTGTACCGGCATACTGTTTACTGATAATGTCGCCGTTATTTGCCCAAAGCAATTGAAATGTTTGTCTGATATTCGTCGGTAACGTTCCGTCTGGTGGTATTAATCCTAGCTTTGAAAATTGCATTTCCATAACAGCTTTACCCAAAGCAGTTTGCACCACGTTTGTTCTATCTAAACAATCTATGCAATTCACCCGAAACACTCCCTTCTGCATGCAAATTGTGCCTTGTTTATCGCGCCAACAATACCCCATGTCGGTCAATACTGTAGCCAATTCACTGACCAGAATAGATACATTTTCAAAATGCATTCCTCGACTGTGTTAGGTACAAAAAAACATTTAGCGATAATTCCAGATACTCCATTAGTTCCTTTACAATTGCTTACCAATATTCGTGAAAATCGAATGTTGTATAAGTTATATCAGGATTATTGTAATTTAATACATGGTTACTATAAGCTTCCCAAATTATTTTCTCTTTGCCTGTTTGCTCTACAAGATTCACAATATAAACTGGACCATACAAACCAAGCTCTTCTGTAAAATGTTTTTCAAATGCAAGCTGTGTTTCTGCTTCATCTAAAGAATTGAAAATTATAAATTATTGAAATATAAATAAAATATTTATTTTTTTAATTACCTCTGTCTATATGAGGTGGAGGTTTATATTTATAACCAGGCTGAGACCAATATACTGGTACACTGCCTCGTACTTGAACAAAAGATACTTGATGATCATGATACCAAACTAATTGCTCTGTTTCTACATAGTTTGCACATTTGCCCTCATCATCGACACCGCGTCGTTTATATCTTTATGATAAAAAAATAATTTTTTTTTAATAAATTAAAATATTATATTAAAATAATATATGGAATAATAAAAAAGAAATATTATTACCTTGTTCCTGCACGAAATCTACTTCTTCTTGATATAATTGCTAAATTAAAAATTTCATGATGAGGTTGTTCATCAATGCCCATTTCTACTTTGCATTTTTCTATTTGTACGTATCCTTGAATAACTGGTAATATCCACCAAGTTGCTTTGTCTGTCTACAAAAATTAAATATTTTTTTTAATAAATATCTAATAAAAGTAAATTTAAATTTAAAAAAAAAAAACTAACTTTCAAATTAATTATATCTTGCAACATATGTTTATTCCAAAAAAATCTATCATCCACTTTTTGCCAAAGTTGTTTATTTTTTTCTTCTTCATTATGTTGTGATTCTGTGGCACAAAGTCTTTGCAGACTGTTTGTGATATCTCCAGTTTGACAGAAATAAAAGGAATCAGTTTCAGTGAAAATTTTATTTAATTCTTCTAAAATTCTTTTTTCAAATCTTTCCTTATCTTTAACAATGCTTCTTTTACTCACTGTAGATTTCACCTATAGATATTTTTATCAGTATATAAATTTTTATATAATTAAAATTTTTATTCTAATTAAATAAAGATAATTTACCTGAGATGTTGCAAGTGCAGCTGCTTGTTGAGTAGTATTTTTTATAGTGTTTGTAGCACTTTTAATAGTTCCCCATGTTTTGGCAAATGTTGCTTTTTGCGGCACATCAAATAAGCCACCTTGACTTTTTTTCTTTGGCAAATTCTGATGCTTTTTGCATGGCAAAAGTCCAATATCATTATTTTCACTGCCAAAATGCAAAAATGCAATTGATTTAATTTTATATATAATGTGACCTCCATATAATTCTCCAGCTGGTGAAACTTCCTTAATTAGCATTAAACGAGGTTCTAATACACATGGTTGTTCTATTTTCCCAATAATTCCATATAATATTCCAAGACATTCTAAATCTTTTGGAGAGGCCCATTCCCAATCTACAAAAAAATGTAAGTAAATTGTAAGTATAAAAATATAATAAAATTTTATCAAAATATTAATATAAAAAAATTTTAATCCAATATAACTTTGTGTTCTATTTAATTGTATTACTTAGACCACATGTCACATCTTTACATAATTCATAAACTGTAGCTATTGCAAAATCATGTGCAAACATCCATTTAAGATATATTCATATTTTCTATTATGTTAATAAAGATAATTTAATTATGATTTAATTTAAAATTTTTTATTTATTTATTTATTATGAATACTGTTACAAAATTGAAAATTTGTAAGTTAAAATTATATGAGTAATTAAGATTATATGAAATTTTTTTGATTATATTATAAAATTTGAAAAATTGAAAATGTTTTAAAAAAGAACAATGAAACGAAAATCACAATGTGTATCATATTTGACATGAATGCATATACACTTCTGTCAAATTAGAACTGTGTACCCACCCGATTTAGCGGAAAACTCTCCCGTGTACTTGTCACACCATAGACTATGTCTTTCTTTTACGAAAATAAAATGCGTATCGGTACGGAACAATTCCATGCTTCCGTCTTTTCCACTGTATGATGGTTTTTACGCAGCATGTGGAACGTCAATTCTCCGAAAGTCCGCCTATGATAGGCACTTCGCCATCTTGCTCGTATATAAGACTGACAACGGGTTCGTATAATATACAATATACATAATACTACATTACATTTTAGAGTGACAAAAAATAGATGGCGATGATAAAGGATTAATAATATATAATATATCTTAAAATTTTTAACAACAAAAATTAATGATTCAAACTTATTTTAAAATTTAAATTTGTTATATTATAATTTATAATTAATAGCATTAAAGTGATTTCGTATTTTTCAAATACACTTTATAAATTTTATAAAATATTAATACTTTATTAAATTTTTTGTAACATTTTTATATCATAATACAAAAAAAAAGAAAAAAATAATAAGCATATCATTATTTGAAATACACAAGATTTATTTATGTAATCAATGATTACATTTTATATATGTCTCACAATAACTGATAAGTACATTATAAATACAAAGAAGCGTGTGAAAATATGCGCATAACGATTAAACGTTATTATTATTAATATCGTCGTATATAGTTCATGGAAGAATATTTAAAAGATGTCCTTTCTATACAAGTATTTTTCTTCCAAATAAATTTAAATAATTGCCGATAAATTCACAAAATTCGATAAATTTACTTAAAATGTATCCTCTTGAGTAATAAAAAAAATTCATAAAATTTAACGAACATTTAACATTCTCAAAAACAAAAAAAAAAATATTTACTCGTTCCTTCCTTCATTTTCTTCCATATTTCTTTTTTCTTCTTTGGTTTTGTCAATTATATATTCTTGCCATTTCCTATGATTGAGAGTCTGAAAGTCATCCACTTTTGCTATCAGTGTTAAATATTGAGATAATTTTAACAATTCCCTGTCTTTTCTTCTAGTGATATATGCATGCCTGAATGGTTTTATCTTTAATCCTGATTGTGGATTCATAATAAAGTTTCTTCTATTATCATCAAACATTATTGTGTTTTTTGCAGAAAACTGCTTATATTTCCCCCAAATAACAGCAAGTGGTTTTGCTGTAATAGTACCATACTTTGATGTTTGAACATTAATCATAAAATTTGCATCAAGATGACATGCTATCTTATAATAAGGATTATTTGAAACTCCAAGCACTTTCATCTTTTTATTGATCCATTCCATATTAGTTGCTGACCAAATTACTATATCATAATTTTGATAAGCCATAATTAAAAAATAATGAAGGAAGGGACGCATTAATTCCCCACCACCACCTTGCAGAACCATTGCTGAATTGTGATCAAAAATGGTGTAATCTATATCGAGCACCAGTAGTTTCTTTCCTTCTCTGAATGGATTTAATTCTACAAACCTGTAGTAGTCGATTCTAAATTGAATTTGAAATAAACACATCTTAACATTCTCTATATCCAACTTTTCCTCTTCAGTCTGAAAGTCATTAATTACATCAGGTAAGTCTTTTGGAGCATGACATACTTTAGCAATATCCTCTTCGCGAGATCCCATCAGCCTTATTTTGAACCCAGATTTCATGCCCAAGTTCCTTAAGATTTCCTCATCTTGAGATGTTTTATTTGGTAAACAGACACTTGATGGACTTTTAAATGGTTTCAAACATGTGAAATCTAATAGAACAGAAGGATAGTTTGAAATCGAAATAGAAATCATTTGAGTGAATTTTATTTTAATATTAACAATGTATCATTATAATATTAACATATGATTATATGGGGAAAAATAAAAGGAGAAAAGGTCATGAAACAGTTCAAAACATAACCTTTGGTTCGAAGGTTTAAAAGTTTTTGATGTTTTGGAAGAATGCCAGTTTCCTTGTGTATTCGTATTTTCAAACCGCGAACGGTATCGTCCAGATTCACATCCGGAATTTCGATTTTTTTTCTGCCCCATACTATTATGATCTTTCCTACATTTTCCATTTTTTCGAATATAATGACGCGACACCAAACGATGTGTAAGTACTGCGAAGTACTTACTCGATACAATTCTCTTAGATATATATGTATATAAAGACCATCGTAGAATACACTACATACATTATAAGTACCTTTGTGTCGATACCATATCGTGAAGTTTATTCTCCACATAGATGGCGTTTCAATAGCATAATATAGCAACATTTATGATTAATTTGTTGTCCTGTCGATAAATATCTTTTAAAAACTTTACGAAATTAATATAATGTATTAAAAAATAAGTACATTTATACTTATTAATTGAATATATATTATATGATTATAATGGAAACTATTTATTACAGAATTTTGAAGATTTAAAAAATAATTTAAGATTTAAAAAATCTTTAAATGCTGAATATAGAATTAAATTTAAATATAAATTTGAAATTAAATGAATAATGGCATAAATTAAATTAAAAATCGTTAAAATTGAAAAATCGTAAAATTATCAAATATGAATATAAAAAAATTATATTATAAAATAAACAATAAATGTTAATGCATTAAATATTCATGATCATTAAACTTTTAATATATTTAAAAAATAATTCAATAAAAATAATTTCCAATTCAACAAAATGTATGCGAATATCTTTTTGTAGATAACTAACATAACATAAGCGATACAAAATAAACTTAATTAAGTGCATTTTTTGTCCCATATCTTAAGAACATTAAAATCCTTTTAAGATTTTACTATTATTCTCACATTATTAATTCACAATAAAAAATTGCAACATTAGTAATTCGATAGTAGTTAGTAACTGAACAATTAATTACATGTTTTAGAAATGTTTTACAATTGAAAGAATAGATTCGATAAATTAATCTTTGATAATTCAATTATTTTTAATACTCTCAAAGAATGCTTAAAAATTCTTTTCTATTCCCTTTACGATCGAGCCAAATTTTCATTTATTTAAATATTACCACTTATTAACTAGCGTATTATCAAAAACAATTATATCATATATCTTTATACATCACATTTCACATGTTAAAAAAATATATATATAAAATCGAGAATGTAATATAAATATTTTTTAAATTAAAGATTGAGATACATCATAGTTTTCTGAAAAAGAAATCATTAAAGTATATTCAATTAACATTTTATATTATTACATGCCATAAATAAATTTAGATAAGGAAAATAGAAAAAAATAGATATAAAATAAGAATTGACAATTAGTACCATCTTTTGATTGTTTCTAGAAATATATTTTTGATATTAAGAGATATTAAGATATCGATAAGATTATGTACTCTATTGTTTCGATTGAATTTTGCCGATAACTGGAAATGTTTATTTTCATTAAAAATGTATAAATAATTTTAATATTCTCAAAATAATTAATTACTTTTTAATTTTTATGATTTATAAATTCATAATTAATTAAATTTATTAATTTTATGTGTAATTTATTATTTTTATTTTCTTTATATTATTATATTTTGATTTCTTTGAATTTTTTATTTTTTTGCAATATTTGTTAATTTAATATACAATTTAATATAATTTATTGTATTTTTTTAAAATACAATAAACTTGTACCTTGTCTATAACCTCTAAATTCTTGACGTGCAATTATTCATTGCCTTAATGACAATTTATATATAAAACGTAATTTTTTTTAATTATAAAAGAATATGGACAAAAATAAAGATATTATTGTATGTGTACCAGGTAATTATATTTTTAAAATAAAAAAAAAGTAAACAGAATAATTAAAAAAAAATCATATTTTTTTGTAGGACAAAGGTTATGTATTTCTGACAAAGTTAATATTGCTGGACCAGGAACTTATGAACAACAAGGCTATATTTATTCGAAATTAGCTGGTTTAGTAAAATTAGTAGAAAAAGAAAATGTAAGAGAAAAGAAATAAATGAAATATACTATTTAACATTACTAATATTATGTATGTGAATTAAATATTATATTTTTAGACTCGAACTATTGAAGTTCATGGAATAACAGAACAAAGTATTGTTCCTGCACCTGGTGATATTGTAACAGCTATGGTTACTATTGTTAATCAGAGATTTTGCAAATGTAGTATAAAATGCATAGGTGATATCGTATTGACAAGACCTTATAGAGGTATTTTAAGGAAAGAAGATGTACGAGCAATAGATAAAGATAATATTCAAATGTACAAGTGCTTCAGACCTGGAGATATTATTCTTGCTAGAGTTGTATCCTTGACTTTTATTATAAAAAAATATGTTGTTAAAATATTGGTAAAAATATAAATTTTGAATTATATAATTTCCTATGCATTCATTAGATGCCAATGACAGAAGGACATACTTATCAATTAAGTACAGCAGAAAATGAACTAGGTGTAGTGATTGCACATAGTGAAGAAGGTAAATTATTAAAAATAATATTATTTTTTTATTAATAATTAATAATTTTTATGTTACAGGTGTAGCTATGATACCCATTAATTGGACACAAATGCAATGCCCTAAAACATTACGAAAAGAGTTCAGAAAAGTAGCAAAAGTAATTCCAGAGCATGTTATTGCAGATTAATAATTTGATATTAATATTTTTTTTAAGTTTATTCATTTGAAAAAAAGACAAAATAAAATATCAATTATAGTATATATATGTATATTTTCTATATATGCATATATTTTTTTCACAATTTAATTCATTTTATTCATAATTTAATTTAATCATTACATTTATATTTTAATAAATTGTTAGACGCATAAATAAAGAATAAAAATTTAGAAGTTGCTAAATTATTAGGATTATTATATTTAAAAAATGTGAAACGGTTTTTTCATCTATTAAAAAATTTTGATAATATAATTTATATACAATATATACAATTTATTTGGAAATATGTAGATATAAAATTATGAATATTATAAATTTAATAAAATTATATCAAATTTGTTGGTAAATTGTTCATTATGTACTTAATTTTTTTTAGGAATAAATAATTAAAAATTAAAGTAAAAACATTTAAGAAAAGCGATTTTAATAATCTAAAGATAGTTTCTTAAATATTAGTTTTCTAAATAATCTTCAATATGTTATTTATTATCAAAAAATATAATAAAAATATAAAACTAACAGCATAAATGTATAACAAATTGTTATAGTAAGTTATAGTTATATATATATATTAATATATTAGAGTAATAATTTAAAAAAACAATTAGTTTATATTTAGTTAATATTAATTAGATTTATATAATATTAAATAATAAATAATATATAATAAAATTTAAATAATTTCATAATTTTTAATTACATTTTTATTTTTGTTTTATTTGTAAAAATATCTCTTTTTTGAAGAAGAAAGCAAAAGTGGATCAAATTAATAAGTAATTTTTTTTATAAATATTTTATAATATTTTTTCTTATAAATTTTATAAATATTTTTATAAATATATTATATTGTGAAAAATTGTGATTAGATTTATTTTGATTTGACAAATGATGAAAAATATGAGTTTGAAAATATAAATTAAAAAAATTGTTAATCTAATATCATTAGATTTCTATAATGAAATTTTACAAAGATGTGATAATTATATAAAAATATGAGAAGAAAACATTATTATAATTAATTTGATATAAAAATTATTTAAATTGGAAGAAAAATTATCTAAAACATAAGATTAAATATTTAAAATTGATCAAATCTAAAGAATATAATATAAGGCAAAAATCAACATAAAATATATTTAAATTAAACAATATATAACAATTAAACAATTAAAGTACGATATATAATATAATATATATTTAAATTTTTATATGGTAATGTGAATAGAGAAATTTATAATCAATCGGAAATTATTAAAATCTAGCAGCGAAACGAATCAGTGCGCATCATAGCGCGCATCATAGTGCGCATCATAGCGCGCATCATAGTGCGCATTATAGTGCGCATGACGTCAGTTTACAGTTGAAAATTGTGACAAGAGGACGGATCATCGCAAATTCGGATTACGCAGTAAGTTATTTTACTTTTATTATTATCAAATTTATCAATTATTGCTAATTTAGTTTTTTAAATAATCCATTCAGTGTAGTGAGAATGAAATTAATTAGTCTTTTGTGTTTCTTTGTGTCTTTTCCTTTGATTCATATACCTGTTGCGTCATTAGTAGCGTGGTATCGAAATATTTCGAGACAGAATTTGAAATGATCGTATATTGGTTTTTTTAAATCTAATTTTAATTATATAGGCTTATTTTACGTTCTTAATTTTTATTTCTTATCATTTTAGTCGTATTAAAATAAAAGAAATTTTTTACGGTTCGTTGCAAATTCATTTCATGAAATCGAATTATTCAAGTGATACATATTTTTCCGAATATATATATTGTATGTAACGTCTTGTGCATATGTTTCCTTTTTTGATCTATCGTTTATATTTTGCTCAAGGCTAGAAATATTCTTTATGTTTATATTTGATCGTTTCCAAAAAATTGGAATCCGTATTCAAGCATGCTTGTCGAATTACCGATTGTATTCCCTCTCCATTTTGTTATTCGATGCGCGAAGTCGAATCGCGCAATAAAATGACATTGTTCGTTGATTTGTTGTGACAATTAGACGTTTGAAATTTTTTCGAGACGTGTGTTCTATTTAGTGCATAATATTTTAATAATATTTTTTGTGTAGTTATTTTTTTATCATTTGTGCGTTTTTATTTAATCAATATATTTTTATTCAATATTTTATTATTAAAATTGATAATTGTTTGACAGCTAAATCATTTTGAATTTTTTATTTATTATATAATTCGAGTGTTGAATTTAATAAGATAGCTTATGTGAATTTTTACTTGATTTGATTGTTGTAACATGTTAACGTAATCTAATTTCATATATTTTATTCATTTATTTAGAAGTTTTAATTTTTTTTCTGCACAGGTTTAATTGGTATCGTCATAATAGCTCTTAAAAGGCGGGAAAAATTCCAATATGGACGCCATATCTTTCTTGATGACGTGGTATTTTATATTTCGTATTTTATATTTCGTATGTATAAATTTTTATTCTATTTTATTGAATTATTAGTGATTGTTGTTAAAAGTAAAAGTATTTTCAGAACAAATGCTCGATAGGAAGAAGAAGAAAAATATTAAAATAATATTGTTTCTTCTTCTATCTCTCTCCACCCCTCTACTAATTTAATGTTAATTTCAGAAAATATTTGTGATCGCGCGCAATGCGGTTAATAGAATCAGTGTTTGTTTCGTCATAGTATTTTAAATATTTTTTAGAGCACAATAGCTTGAATTAAGTTTAATTATAATAGTTATACGCGAAATTAGAATCAGTGCTTGTTTGCCGATTACAAAATGTGTTATTAGTCTCTTATTTTTATTTTTTATTTTAAATATTCATTTTTGGTACAGAGTAAAGTCAGTGCTTCTCTCAAGAGACGTGATCATCCATCACGCGAAGAGGTATCTTTTTTCTATCTAAATTCTCTAAATAGAAGTTAATTAGAATTTCAATACATATCATATTGTAAATTTAAATAGTTAATAGTTTCATATTTCAATTTTTTCAACTAATTAGAACTATGTTTTAAATTACGATATTTTATCATAGATTTCTCCTATCTGATGACAACCTTATTCTCGATGATTTCTGGGCCACAACAAGAAAAGTGAAGGCGTTCGTCGCATCATATGGTGAGTCGCATGCTTTTTGATTCCTCCGGTCACTCAACCATGTCGTAGGATGAAAGATCCGAATCGACACGAGTGACTGGTTGTATACGTAGAATTTTACACGAGCACAATGACCACGGGTATTTATTTATAATACTCGTGAGTAGTAACAATTATTTCTTTTGTGTTTTATTAGTTCAGGCTAGGGTCTTCTTGTGCTTCGCGTTTTTGATTAATAAAAATATTCAGTAATTTTCTAATGCCAAAACATATATTGTATTATAATATTGTATTACAATATTGTATTATAATATATGTAATATGTATTACAATATATGTAAACATATATTGTATTATAATATTGTATTATATTGTATGTAGTATAATACAATAATAAGTTTGAATTTCTATAATTCAAAATTCTTCAAAGCAATATTTGATCAAGTTATTTGATCAATTTGATTATTGTATTTTTTATAATAATATCATATAATATAATAACTTCAATATGACTCACAACACTTGTAGATAGTAAAATTTAATTTTCTCCGTCCAAGTATGAATTAAATTTTGTGCAAGAAGACGTTTCGCGACAGGCAGATTTTAGATTCAGAGCAATAAATTTTGAATGTTATTCTTGTGACTTTGAAAATATGTTCTGATGAAAGAATCGCCTGAGGGTATTTCTATTAATATTTATTAATGTATTAAATTACAATGAATTCTTTTTTAAATTTCCTCTTTAAATTCAATATTAAAAATTTAATATACTAAAATTTGAATAACAAATTCAATTAATAAAATAAAATATAAAATAGAGTTACAAATAATTTGAAATATAATACAAAGATAAAAAATATTAGCCCGTTAGATATATTAATATCTTTTTAGCTCAGGATTTTCAGGTTTAACCCTTTCCATGTCCACTGTCAGGAACTCACTCACGTGCCCAGGTGCTACTTGAGTGAGGGAGAGGCAATGGATATGATGACTTTAGTTCATAAGCTAATACAAA